CTCAAACAGCCCCAGTAGATTGAGTGATTCACTAGTACAAGAACGTAAAATAGATTAGGTCGAGACAGATGGAGGATCAGGTAGTGTAAGATTGTTGACTAACATAACAGAGGCCTCCGTTTTGATTGCTAGAAGCTCAGGTCGACCTTAAATCTACTTTTTTACAGTGTATGCAGATATTCCGAGCACATACGCCGTAGTAGTTTGTAAGCAAGAAATAAGGTAAGTAAGTAAGTAAGTAAGTAAGAAACGGTAGCATAGTAATTCTCTACTCTCCTGAGAGCATTTGATGGAGCGTAGTAAACACGACGTGGAAGCACCGTCGAGCGGCAAATGCGCAGAAGGTGCCCAACCGTGAAGAACTTGTGGAAGGTGGATTGCCTGCGTCTACAGTCAGTTACTCTTTCGCGTCTTTCGCTATGCCTGTAGCACATAAAGGAGCGTTTGTGGCTCGGTGAAAACCGAGGTTTACTACGTGGGTTACTTCTGAGGGGTGATTATCTTTATAGTGTATTATTTATTAAATCACATTTTCGCTTTGCCTCAGTAATTTACATGCAGTTTCCTAAGTAAGCTTGTGATCGTCATCCATCAGTAGTCACTCTCAGGCCTTGTTACCAAGAATGCCAACCGCAGGTTTTGGATAGCATTTACCGCTTGCACTTTAGCCGACAGAATCTTATTATAGTAGCCTTCAGCTAGGACAATTGTATTTGGCTTAAAATTCTTTAACGTCTTCTTCTTCCTGCCGTAGGTAGGAAGAATATCGTGGTGCAGCAAGCACCGGTTGTTGTAACCCCCTAGGAACATGCATATACTTCAGTTGGTGTGACCGGGATGTGTTTTCATACAACCTTAGCGCATCTAAACGCTTCTCATTCTTTGCACCCAAGTGTTATCGAAACAGTTTAACATATTAATGGTCAGTAGTAGAGACATAAGGATTAGTAATTATGAAACGCTCATGATTGTAACCGCATGATATTTCTCATCGGTTCCAAACTGCAAAGGATATATTAGGATTCTCTTCTTTGCGAAATGAATCAGGTGGAACAATTTGACGCATAAAGACTAATTCCATTTAACGACTACGGCGTCAATGTTAAAGTCCACAAGCGCGCAGCTAACGCGATCCTGCGAATCAGTAACGGTTTGTAGTCAAATAACGCTAGAGCAACATTACACACCCCACTGGCAGCGAACAAAATGTATTCTGGCTTGAAGATATACAGCGCATAAACCAAGTAGCTGAAGCCAAGTCAGTGGTGAGTGTTTGCTCGACAGGCAGACACACGCCACATGTAGGGACAGCCGCTGCTGAGTATAAGCATCTGATCCGCGATAATGACCCACTAGTTAGGTGTTGCGTAATAAGTAAGCGTAGCCACAAGCTGTTACAGTTGTATGCACCAGGCAGTCCTATTATTAGAGTATGAAGATGCGGAACTCCGATGATACTCATTTACTTGTGTCGCTGAAGCGACCCAGATTGACGTGTACCTCAACCACGTCCTGACTCTCTGGTTACAAAGACACATAGTACAAGAACTTCACTGCCGAAGTCAGGTTATAAAACTTTGTGTAGGATGTCATAAAACAGGCAGTTATCAAGCGGGGTTTAACATCTTCCTGAACTCCGTGGACACACCGTTAAGAGCACGTATGCGCGAGGTATTGATGAGACAAAAGCCCAGGGGGAAATACGTAAAACAAACCACCCACTTGTACTTCTTAATAGTTGCAACTTACTTGTGACAGGTTCCATGCTTGACTTTTAAGTACATACATCTACAGTCGTGCCACAACAGGCCTTTTCAAATGCTTCACAAATCAACATGAGCAGCTGGGCCCAGGTTACTAAGCTTGAAGTGAAAATGTTCCGACGCTCACTACAACCCTATGTGGATTTGAAAGAACCATAATAAAGTCATATCTTTTCTATAGTTGCGTCGTCTCAATACCTACTCTCGGGTAAACGATTTCTAAAATATGCACTAGATGCTTTATTATTTCACATCAAATCAACCATAAGCTTATCTAACAAGTTAGAATGTATGCGGCAAACTTTACCTTGTGGTCTTAAGCTACCTAGTTATCATTCAATGCATCGCCGTCATAGTCTGAAGAATCACTGTTGTGCAACAGATTGTTCGTAGACTTAAACTCTTCGTAATTCAACGTAGATAAGCAGTAATCTTGAGCGCAAGTAGTATGGAACAGCTGCCCCGTTCTTTATCGACATCTGGGACTTGCTTGACTACGTTTATTCTTGGTGAGGCTCCTGGACCTCTACTGGCTTACCCGATTCCGCATTGGTCGATCTTCTAAAGCAAAATGCAACGAGTTCTGCTGTGACGTATCCGGGCAAGTTACAATTGTTTTCTCAACATTAATGGACAGTTGCATGTAGGCAGTGTGGCCTTCTTTTTCGGAATAAAAGAGGGAAACACAAGTAAGTATTACTGTCATGTAGATAAATGGGACTGCAATCTCAGAACAATAAGCAAAAGAAGACCGAGTGTGTCGTGGCTTACATATAATAACAACTTAATCTTAAATCCCGCAATAAGAATTTGACCTTCAGTTTCAATTAAGTAGCTAATTAAACTGCATTTGGATGCAACTTCAAAAGAAACTGTCGCTTCAGAATGATATGTGGGAATCGTCTCTAAAGGCAAGTTCAATGAAGCATAACACACGCGTCGATATTTTTAGTCAAACTAATGGAAACTGTGAAATCGGCCGTGAAAACGGATTGCAATATGTCACTTGCTCCCTTGATACTTTATTGATCAATGCAAACAGAACCATTTTGATGTAAACAGAATGGGTAGCATTCGATTTCATGATGGGACTTGAAACACGTATGCAATTTACCACGCAAAATCACATATCAGGATTGTGTACAACTAATAACTCTCCAATCGTGATCCATAAATAAAGCGTGTCCAACATACACACCCCAACATCGGCTTAATACAGCAAATACTCAGCCTCAATCACTGAATTTAATCAACTACTTCCTTAAAGAAAGTTCTGTAGCCGACTCTCAGGTTGTTTCCTAACTTCTCAATAAAACGCAGCTGTCTCGCTTTTGGTGATAAACCCCTAATCCCGGGTACTAAGCAATTGCAAACCGCGTATTCGGTAATAAAGCGAAGAATGATTATTCCTTATTGATGCTAAATTATGTTCTGTGAATGACTAAGAACCTTGCCTATCAAGTCGACAGACATTAAGAAACTCGTCGTTTTCGATCATCGCTGCATTCGCAGGTTAGCTGATGTCTGGTGGGAGCACCGCGTGAAAAATAAGCGCGTTCGGCGTCGCGTATTTGGTGCAAGAAGAGCGAGTGAACCGGTCAGCACCATTAGTTCACGCACCAAACTCCGATGGTTGAGCCACGGGTTGCACATGCCAACACACCGACTTCCGCGACTGCATTGTTTGCGCGCCGGGGGTGCGGTTGGAAGAGGAGGAGGGGAGGCCAAACGATGACTGGGTCGAGAGAGATGAAATCCCTCACTTCGAATTTGGCGTCGGTTGGTGTATCCCGACTGCCTGGATGGGGTCCGAAGGACGGTGAACACGTTTGGTTGAACATACTTGTTGATATAGCTTGGAGCCAGCCCCAATGGCGTTTGTGTTGTGAGTTCCTTTGTCCACCCCCTTGCTTAGCATCCCCTCCAATCACGATCTCACTCGTTAGGCACAATATAACTGTTACGGCACGATTGCCAGCGGTTGGCTCTACGGAAAGATGTTCATCCGTTACTGGGAATTCAGCCGGCGTGCCACTGTTTGTTTTCCTTTTCTTGTCTTTTGTACTGCGGCACAATAGCTGCCGGGTTTTCCACCTTCAGCTAACGTGTATAATAATAATGATGATGATGATGATGGATGACTAAGAGCTCACAGCTCCAACACCAACCGTATTCATTAGTGCTCTTGCTTTCGCCATTACTGAAGTGTGACATCTCATTATGCTTGACGCCTACAGTGTGCTCTTCGAGTAGTTGAAATTTTGCACTCAATACCTCCCCCACATCCTCGAGCTAGTGAAGAGCACTCGCAATTGTGTGCTGTCTGCCCAAAGACACCGCACATCGTGACGCTGTTCGGTCTTATGTGATCTCATCAGGTGGAGATATCGGCCTCCAAATGCGAGAACATATGAAACGTTGGTTTTCATCTCTACCGTAAGCCACAGGATGAGGGCGAACAACGCTTTTCACAGCGGTTAATGACTGCTTGGAGGGTCATTTGAAGTAATCGTTGTGTGCGTGCACTGCGATGCACAATCTTAATGTAGACCGCAATTTGCACTGAATCGATCAACGGCCAATTAGATAGCCAGGACTAAAGCAGAAGAAAATGGGAATTGTGTGTTTCCCGCCCGAAAACACTGTGTACAATGACGCGTTTGCGATCGCATTTGTTCTCATTAGATGGAGATGGCAGACCTCTAATCCTGGACCAATGGATGCCTTTGAATAATCCCTACTTGATAGGGGATGTCGACTACCACGCCTGTTGTTTTGTTAACTTTAGCCAGAAGTACCCAGCTAAGGATGCACGGGCAACCACATATCCTACCTAGTTCAACAGATTAGCAGGAGGACTTGATGATGAACACACGGAGATAAAAATAACCGGTGAATTGGCGTAAACCTCACATAAAAAATCAGCCGGCTCTTCTTGCTTTTAACACATTCAAACTATCGCAGGTATTGTTACACATGGTGCAAACGAACTTTCTTCCAGACTGATGAATATCACTCTCCTCGGTATTCCTTCTAATGTGCAATCAATGTTTCTCTCTACATCGTCAGTGGCACCCCGAAAATACGTACTATATTCCCATCGGGAGGCTAAGGTACTTGTTTCATAAGGTAACCGGACTGGATAGTTCGTAGTCTCCATTATTATATGGTAATTATCCCATGCGGATGGCATTATGGACAAAGGTTATCAAGGCGCCTTAAAACTGTAAGAAGAAATCGTTTTAAGAATCACTTTATTGTTCATTCATGCAAGCCAGAGTAGAGTAAAATCAGGTTGTGATCATTCGTGATGGAATGCACATCAGAGGTGACCGGCAATAATTGGAAAAATATGATGCAGCAATTTCTCCATTGACTCTACGTTTTGTGCGTTGCTTAAGGTTTTCTTGAAGAAGTCGACAAATACTGGTTCTCCACTCTGGAAATGCAAGCAATCAATTACATTTCGTGAGAAAAATCAAGACAAATTCAGTGTTAGTGAACTGATGTTTACAATACTTCTCCATCATGCCAGTACAAGTATATACCAGTTACATCAATTAGCCCGATTGCTGAGGTAGTTAAACGGGGTGAAATTAGCGGCTTCTAATATCCATCTGCGCGGAAGCGGCTGAAGCCCTGCCTTATGCACTTAGAGGCGATTTGTTTAAGCCTTACAGCTGCCCTGGCCCGAGCGGATAATGACTTCTACTCAGTTGGCTCGCGTGAAGGCTCCAACGTTCACCTGATTAATAGCGATAGCTGACCTCTTCTAAACTGATTTTACTCAGTTGTAACCTCCTCAGCAGTCTGTCTAACTGATGTAACTGGTATATGATTGCACTAGACTGATGGTGAATTATCGAAAGGTAATCATCTTTAATGCTGGCTCTGGATAACCTAATGGGCTTTTTTTAAATCCATACCAGTTGGGATATCTTGATTGACAATGCGAAATGACAAACTCACTAGAAATTGTTCTTTGTTGACGTTTCGGGTAGTATGAGCCTTGCCGTTATCCTCGAGAACTTTACTCAGGGCCGCATCATCAGCAGCTGCCTGCACGATCTTCACGAACTCGTCAACCAACGTTGCACCGTAGTACTTTATGCCGCTGGAGTCGAACACATTGTCGATCGTAAGGCCTTGAAGCTTGGAGAATAAGTTAATATACTCCGGCTTTGCCCCAAACAATCTGAAAGTTCGGAGACGCATAAACAATGATCAAGGAAAACAATGAAACGACTCAACAAGTCACGAAAACAAACTCACGCTCTGTATGCCGACACACCCAGGGCTTCTTTTTTCTCCTGAGTTTCCGCATGCGGCCCTAGCTCGGCCAACAGACTGCTGACTTCGGCTGCGGTCAACGGTGCCATGCTGCTGCTACGACGTTACACACACAGCACGAATGGCATGTGCTTTCTATTTATTCTTCTCGGGGAATGGTAAAAACGGCCGCTGAGGTGCGTGCGTGGTTCACTGTAGTTTTTATGCACCCGTGAGGTGCAGCCTTGGCCGAGTTTACGAAAGCTGGTGTGTACGTGACGTGGTTTTTCTCACCATCATTTGTAGTGTTGATGGAATGAAGGACCGCGTGATTTGTCTGGTGAACGCACCTCTCCACCTAGATCCATCACTTCAAAGTTAGCTAATTCCTGATAGCGTCATGGGCAGGCATCCGCTCGTCCCCATTTCAGGATAAATTTATGATCGGAGAAAAACCGTTTAAGTATTACAGAAGTTAGTACACAGAGTTTAAGTGAATACACTACTTGATTGAGTTTAACATATGTGAAACGTCGTACATGCATTGAGGTGTGTTTGACCAGTGCTGCGTAAAGCGTTGTATCTATCTGCGCAATGCGTCCACTGGTGAACGATGAAACGACAACATCACCGACTGGACGTTAGATGGAACTTGCGTTGTAGCAATGTTAAGCCACGGAATGAAACCCCAACTTACATAGGAATTTAAGTGCTAATATCTCTTCATTGAGATTTAACACAGACATTGGTTGCGCTTATTAGACCCGGAATAAGTAGTATCAATCGTTCACTAGATACTATCCCCTTGTAGTTCTATGCCAGTGTTTCTCAACCTGGGGGTAAGTAACCACAAAGGTCTGAAATGGAAGGTTTTGACGGTTTTAAATATAAGTGCTAGGAATGCGTCATGAGTCTGTCGTAAAACAACCTTAATAACAAACCCACAAGAGTCAAAGCACGTTACTAACTACCTAATAACAATTGTTAAGCCGTCAGTGACGAATCATTAGTGACTAGTAAGTGAATTAGACCATTTCTGGTACTACATTTTATTATCTAAATCACGTATATATGCCTGCAAGGCAGCGCATCTACATGGCGGCTGTGTCGGCTAGTTCCCTTATCGTTGTTCTTTAGATTTAAGCAGTCGTTCGTCAGGTGCATTTACTGAGTTCAATGTACCCTAAGGTGGGAGTATAAGTCAGCAAACAACTAGGAGAAATAAAACGAGCGATTTGTGTTCAAGACGGATCGATCCACAATGATGATAGGAAGATGTTAGCCAGGACGAATTGGAAATGACGGCTGAGACGAAGTAGAAGCCACTGTCATCGTCCGTGTTTTATAATAATCACGTAGAAAAGCAAGAAAACGAAGGAGTTTGGAGCAAGACTTATGATGCGCATTAGCCTAGAGCGCAAAAGCATAATAAATTCATGCAGCCATTTCACTTCAGCAATTTTAAGAGAGCAAGAACGAACAACATATTTACGGGATAACATGAATTCAGCTTATTTCGTGCATTCTCATTCAGCCACTTACAGACTAATCTTGGAAAGAGTAAGGAATGCAATTGAAAATGATCACTCAGGAAATCAATAAAACACTGAGAAAATCAGTCATGGCCTACATCTTACCAGGGCAAGGTAATGCTTGCACAAGGTCGACCTGTTTTCAAAGGGTTAGGTTTCATTTGCCGAATGGCCGAGATTTCAGTAAAACGAAGCAAGCTCGGGTTGTTTTTCTGCTGATACCTCTTGAATGCGTCACGTGGGTTTTCGCACAAGGCACAATCGACCGGATGCGGAGCGGTTGAGCTGGCCAGGATTTTAGGGCCTCTATTTGCTAGGTTTCTTGGAACATGTTACATTATCCTAGTTGATAGTCTCTCGGTTCGGCCAATGTACATGCTATCGCAAGTACAAGCGAATTGATAAAAACATGAGGCGGTAATCTGAGAGTGAAGCCTTTCCAAGTTGGACTCATGGAACAACTTCTTGGTTTGATGTAACAACACGTGCTCAGCTGCTTAGTAGCATTATTTTCTGGCTTGGTGTAATCGGTAGCACGGTCTTCTGTCGTTCTGTTCCCTTTTATGGTAACATGATGATGGCCATTTTCTTTGGGACATCCATTTGTTTTTCTTTCTTAGCAACCTTATTCCCATACCTAGCAATAAATTTATTCGGATAGCCGTTATTGCGTAGGTTAGACTCGAAATAACATAACTCAGTCTTGAGTGACTCTTCAGACCATATTCGGTGTGTCTAACAAAACAAGTTCTGTACGCGCGTTTCATCCTTTCAGGAATCGTCAGCAGTACGCATTCCATCGGACCCCTGGTAGGGCTCGAACCCGCAACTCGACTGTTGCCAGTCCGTCGTTGAGACCACTGAGCTACGGGGACGGCTACGACCATCGTGAATAAGTTACTAGATGTGATATTTTGCCGCTCACTATCCACTGGCTTACACGTTACTGCCGTGCAGAGGACAGGGTAGCCCCCTCACCAAGGATGAAACGCGCGTACAGTGCTTTTCCGGAAGTGTGGCGGCTGTCTGTGTGAGCCTAGCTGTAACGAATTTCCACATATATGATACAACTCTCCCTACTACTCTTCTGTAAAACAAGTTCTACCTAGGGATTGTTTATAGTTCATTGGCCACCAACTGTTATAATGTAGGTATTGTCCGGTCCAGCTCGGTTTCCGGTAAATCGATCTTATGAGTGAACCATCTGCTCTTCTTTTAAGTGTAATGTCAGGAAAATGAAACAAATCATCTGATTCACTTTCCATAGTGAACTTGACATTAGGATGGCATGTGTTTAAAGTTTCCAAAAGGACTTTCGCATGCTGGACGTTGTCAACTACAAGAAACGTATCGTCGATATACCTCGTGTAAAATGTGTTGCTTCAATGACATCGCTAATAGGTTACTCTCCAGATGCCCCATAAAGATGTCAGGTAGAACCGGTCCGAGAGGGCTACCCATTGCAACGCCTTCAATTTGACGATACCTATCCCCATCATAGCAAAATTGGACGTCTTTCATACAAATGCTGATTAAAGTCTTAAATCTAGGTGCAGGCAGGCCAAATTGTCCTTAAGCAAAATTATGATGTCCAAACTCTCATCCAAGGAACGTTCGTGAAAAGGGAACAGACGTCAAATGATACTATATGCTTATATTAAACATTCAAGTATCGAACTTTGTCAACGAACGCAAAAGTGTCTTTCAGACTGTGCACTGTTAGCTCAGCGCGTGCAGGATCCAGTCGCTTTGCCAATCATGAGAGATAATCAAAGCGAATAGTGCCTATACGTGTCTGTGCATGCTTTCTTGGTATAAATGAGAGAATGTTAAAAATAACAAGGACATACATTTCGAGTACTTTAAAGGAAAAGTGTCATAACTAATTGTTGATTATCTTTGTAAACTAAATCATTGTGTTAAATGTTTATAGTGCACACGCTGTTTGGGTAACAAACAAAATTGTTTGAGAACTACTGTTTCATACAAACTTGCGCTAGCATACCAACATCTTGCAAGTGATCGGTTCAAAATATGACTTATGTTATAGCGTGAAAGCGTAAACCATGGTGGTTTAAGTTTGACTAAGTAAGGTAATTCAGCTGGTCCAGAAACACCGGTGCTGATCAGTGGGACTATGTTTGCAGATGGCTTTTTTACGTTTTGTGCACAGATGAAAATATCGCTTGAATGAATTGTACTGCTTACGTTAAACCGTGCCAACAAATCTTTCCCTGACGTTTCATAATGTGCATAACACGAGCGTTTGCACATATTTCTACTATCTTGCCTCCGTTCGACATGCACCGCTCTTGCCGAAGTTGACAGTTTTGACTGCGGCGTAGAATAGGTGCATCAGCTACTCGCCAAACTTGATGGTACCAAGCTTTCTGGGCCTGATGGGCCTCACCCTGTGATTCTCAGACCTATATCGGTCATCCTATCACCTGCTGTGACTGACCTGTACAACAGATGGCTTTCCGTAGGGTACTTTGCAGATTGCTTGGGAAAGCTTGGTGGTAAGGCTGATTCCGGAAAGCGGTAACTCCAGTAATGTAGACAACAACAATCCAATTAGATTGACTCCTATTTTTGAATGTAAACTACAGTTTGCTGCCGCTGTTCCAATCAGAACAACTCCTGACACCCTTACAGCAAGGTCGTCCGTGCATTACCCACCTGCTCGTGGCGAGGCATGAATGTTGCTGGTATTGAATTAAAAGGGAGTCTATCAACGTGATCAACATCGATTTTAGCAGAGCTTTAGACCATGTAATCAATACGGTCCTTTTATACAAGCTGGCAGTATGAGGCGTTGAGGGCTCAATACACCAGTGGATCCGTTAGTTTCTCAGTGCATGGAAGTATAAGGTGAAAATCAATAACCAAGTGACAGACTGGTATCCTTCGACCAGTGACCTACCTCAACTCACGATGCTAGTGCATACATTGATTTACTTCATAACCACGACCTACCAGAGCTTATTCGTTTGACCATTGTCCTGTTTGCAGATGAGCTGAAGATGTGGAATGTGATAACTACTTCCGACGACTGTGGCCTGCTTTAGAAAGATATTAACCGCCTTCCTGTGTGATCTGCATAGTTCCGCCTTCCGGTTAACACAACCAAGTCGGTAATCGCAAGTTGTGTAATGGTGTTGTCGACCAAATCTACACTCCTGATGACAAAGTATTGCATCCCACATCTTTTGTGAAGAACCTAAGGGTACTCTCACTTTTTCGATTTGAAATATGTTGTCAATACGAACAGATTATATCGCAGAGGATTGCGCATGCTATGGACGCTCAAATGCAGTTTCCGCATCTAGTCGGAAGACTTTGCCCCTCACCTCTTCTCCTTCATCTTAAAACTACGTTTACAGCATGGCGGGCCTGCTTATTTTCCGTCCTCTAGTGGCAAGATGCAGAAGAGCGAACGCGTCCAACAACTTCAGCCACAGTTTACTGTAATACCGTAAGAGGACGATCGCCAGAGTCTGCGACTATGCAACCTGGCCCATTGTCGGTTGCGAGTCGACCTCCTCATGACGCATGCCACTGTACATCTAGGCGACTTCCGCATGCTTGGGCCACCGCTCGACTTGCGAATACCGTGGGACACACGCGGACACCAGTACACGCTTGTGGTGCCGGATCCGGGGCGAGTTTCCATCTCCTGTGCTTTGAACGGTAGCTGGTCCATATTTGGA